TTTTCCAAAGTCTGTGCTTATTTTTCCTCGTAAAACAAACAAGCGTTTCCAGACGCTTATCCGCAATGATAATGACCAGACACATATTGGACTTGCTCACTTAAAGAACTTTTCAGTCTTAAAACATAATTTGCCGCAAATGAAGTTTCACATAACCTCAAAACACCATCAGTTCTCTGTGGTAAACAGAATAAAAAATTTTGATTTATTCTGAAGGAGCATCATTTAGGAATTTTCTTCTTTTTTATTTTTCTGACCTACCGTGAATAATGTGATTCATTAAGAAATAGTGCTGCCACTCTTAAGTTTTCCAGCCTTGAACACGGTCATCCAGCATCTCTTTCAGCCTTTTTCTTTATATAAGCATATAAGCTATGCACGATGTTGCTTCCGAGGGACATGATATTCAAATGTATTTCGTTTCCTGGTAGTTCAAAAACGTCGTCCAGGAAATGCTTTCTAGTTTATTGGATAGGACAAAATTGAGAACGGAGAGTCAGTAGTGGCTTTGTCACGTGATACCGGATAAGCTGAAATATTCATCTTTCCAGAAGGTCACTCAAGTTAAGCGACATATTCAACACAGTAATCTGTGATTCGGTGATGTGCTAGGTGATTTGCCTACTCATATTTAGGGTTTCTTCATCCAGTATGTTGAGTTATTCGCTGTTTGTGCTTCATACACTCTAACGGCCATGTAACCTCGGCACTTCCAGTGCGACGTTCGCCTTTGATTCCGTTTTAGAAGGCATCTGATATAGTAAAAGGGAGTAAAATGGTCTACCTTCACTCATCGCAGTTGGCTCATCTCGATTTCAGGCCCTGTGTCTGACGGATACAGAAGGCCTGACTGGATTTTATCCAAGTGCGGCTCTCATGAACTAAGCGCATATCTGTTTGGTAAGAAATGAACATGTGTGTACCGCGCAGTAGTTTACAACATCCAGTTTGATAAATTATATTTTGCAGTTTACAGAATGAATAAACAGGCGATCTGATTTTAAGCGTAGGTGAAGGTTTGAAAGTTAGTTTGAATAAAAACATTAATGTTGTGGCTTCAAAGTGAAGGTTGTAGTGATGCGAATGGCGGAAAGACATTCACACTAGTGTAGTATTTATTAATTCAAGGACATAATAAAATGTTTTATCCATCAAGGATCTACTTGTGGACGATTGTTTGAAAAACTTATTCTTTCAAAAGAAAAGCAATAACAGTAAATAATTTAACAAGGGTTTCGGTCACACAATAACTGTTGAAACAAGATTTGTTGATCGAAGATTCACTTTCTGTTCATAAATGTAAAATCAAGACTAATACTTCAAACGACATGGCCATCACTGTTGTGATTAGTCTACATAAGCTGTTCAATGATGTGTCTAAATATGCCTCTCAGCTTTAATTTCAATTATTATTTTCTATATTAATAATTGTCATCCTATTCTAGGATACTGTTGTCAACACTCTTGTATAATTTGACGTACCGTACTGAAGATCGCATCTTCTTTTTCTTCAATAAAACTGCTTTTGTCTGTTTTCCAACAATAAACAGCATCTGCGGACACAAAGGGTGAATTGTGTGAATAGTCTTCAGGTTTACCTGGAAAATGATATAAAATAACGAAAGTGACTGATAAGAAACTATATGAAGATCTATGAGGTAGGATTAGGCACAAATATTTTGATGGTTTTAAATTTATTTATGTATTTCTGACTTGGAATTAATTATTGAATATAATGTGACACTTTCTGAGTAAGAATATTGCGGAATCTTACCAATCATCGAGCAGTGGGTCGCGAAGCATCATTTTTCACACTATTACAAACAAACCAGAATGTAGGTAAACTGAATATAAGGACTATTGAAATAACTAATAATCAAATCAGTAAGAAAACGATTAACATTCCTCCAGTTTTCATCGTGTATTACCTGATGTCTATATTCTCTCACTTATTTTCGTTGCCTAACCGATTCGAATAAAGTTTATCTTTTTCATTTCTAAGTATTTTAGGTATTTTTTTTGTTTACTGTACTTACACTTTAGCTTCAGACTGAGTTGTTTTTACGAGATATTTGTGTTGCTATTTGGTCCAAAGTTCAGCGATAAACGATTTGTGATAACTGAACGCAGGAATTGTATGATGTGAGTTTTTAAGGTTTCGGAACAAATTATAACTTAGGATATGATTTATGATTCCATTCAGTTTATTATTGGCTTATGCTTCTGACAATCGTGTTTAGTCAATGTGAAAGTCATAATTTGAAGTTCCAGTTAACGTGGTATAAAGTTGATAAGGTTGTATTATGTTCTGATTTTGTAAACTTTCATTTGAAATATTCGTTTCATGAATGTGAATATGATCAAACCAAATGTGCAATGAATATATACATTTGCTTAGTAAATGTATCCCATCATTTTCATAGTAGTACAACATAGTTCAACATAGTAAACCCTACAGACATTTGAAAGCATATTATTTTGGCTTGCAAGCGATCTATGTACGTGAAAGAGAATCATGTTCAAATGCTGATGTATCACGGATTGTACGAAAGCGTAACGCAGACCGATTAGCCTTATCTGTCAGAAAAAACAAAATGTGTATTTTATTAAAATGCTAACTTTGAGACAAACGTGATCACCGGCGACTTCATTCAAAATGCTTTGGTGCTGTGGTCTTTTCATCGTTTCATTCAAGTAAAAACATAACAGTCATCATATATATAAATAAACAATGTTTAAGTAATGCGAATCTAACAGCCACAAATCATTCGAAGTGACTTATTTCCACTCTTTTTATACGAGTTCGCATTTCCAGTTTTCTTCGTTTATTTGTTGGTGTCAAGCAACATTCTTCATAACCTTTTTATAGAGCACCTAATTTGATATATATTGATATGTATAGTTTTATTTCTATATCACTCCTGCTGTACATTGCGAGTTTTAAAATATCAAACTCCAAACCGAAACTAGAGCTTAAAAATTTACCAGAATTATTCATATCAAGCAATAAGAAGAATGCATGAAAGCGAGATTCTGTGTGAAAATTTGAGAGTTTCTTTGTTCTGCATGTCAGTATATTCGATGTTGTCTGAGATTATTATAGTGATCAAATGATCAAACAAATCACTGACTGATTATTGGCTTGGTTTGAATCATGTGAACGTGTTAGACACTGTACGTCTACTCCGCAGTAATGTTCTTTACTCTATCAGGTACATGTGACGTGTTCATTTGTTAATTTATTGTCAAACCATAGACGATTGCTTTTTTAATCACAGCTGAGTGTATTGACAGCACATTGTTTGATAAAATTTCAAATTGGAAGACTACACTATATTTATTTGACTTTTATTGTTTTGTGTGTATTATCCATACTGGTGATGATATTTAAATTGGATGTGCCATTTATATCTTTCATTGCTGTGGTATAACTTTGAAGTGAAAATATCTTTTCGTAAAATACTTCCATAAATATGACCGTATTATTGAATGTTTATGTAACATATTTTACTCAGCATATTCTGAATAATTCAAAAAAACATATTTATTATATAAAAGCGAAACGATTTCCGTAACCTGTAACGGATAATGGAGTAATTCATTGTTAACTCATATTATATAAAGGAGATTGGTTTTAGTACACACTGCGAAACCAGACGAGGAAATCTGAATACAGTTATCATCAACGTCCGTGAAACATGCATCTTTGAAACGAAATATGAATTATTCAAAGATTTATCATTGCAAAACGTACTGATGTTCCCTATTGTTGTTCAAAAGTAGTAATTCATATTTATTTTCTCAGAAAAACTAATTTAGTCAATTCAGCCACATAAAATACTCATTTTCAATACGATTATAGTATGATAAGTAAACAGTGCACGAGAACGAATGGCGATAACATATGAAAAACTTCGCATATTGCAGATTTTAGAATTTCTTAAAAATAATGATTTCCTATTTTTAAAATCAGCGTTAGGACCTTGGAATCCCTTCTGGCGCCTCAGGTATAATAAGGTTTATTAAGGTTAATCCAGTACTTCCACCATAATCCCTATAACTTCATTATGTAGCTATTTCCCAATCTTCCCATTATAACCGTCAGCATTGAGCTTTGAATGCTGATCACCTTCTATGAAATCATCAAGTTATCCGTGAAGCGGATTTCGAAAGGCTATCAATCATTTCTTAACAGATGTCATATCGGAGATCAAGAGAATATATGTATGGATCAAAATATACGGTTTATTTTACGCGGACGATAAGGAATATGAAACCAACAAGAGTTCACGTTCGAACTCATAAAAAGTAAGTGCATATCCTACCACTCGAAAGAAAGTACTCATAGAAGATTTCACTAGTAAATCGAGTCAGTTGAGTTCAAAAATATGATGATGGCTCCAGCAAGACGTACAGTATTTGTTTATTTACAGAAGTAATAATTGTTGGGATAGTCAATCGAGAATAAAGCCACGCATATTGTGGATTTAATGAACTATTTGATTTTTGTTCATAATAAACCATTTCATTAATGATGAACTATATGATTAATGTTCATGATAAACTATTTCATTAATGATGAATTATATGATTAATGTTCATGATAAACTATTTCATGTATGATGAACTATATGATTATCGTTCCTGACGAACTATTTGAAGCATGTTCAAATAATTAACGACTTTTATATAATTGTATAAATACGCATGTTTGATTGTATATATTTTTGATTCTGACAAGAAGTGTTCTACAACGACTTCCGTCTTCTTTCTTTGAACGGAGGGGTCTAACGTTCGGGTGTCATTAGTACGGTGGTTGACGTTACATCAAGTACAAAACATAAAAGTGGCGACGGGGTAAGAACCATATCCACAAAACATAAAAGTGGCGACGGGGCTCACAATTCACAATGTCAATTAATCTTGAACAGTTAGAATCTTTACTGGAACGTGACGGTTAACGATATGAACAGTTCCAGGAACGTATGTTGGAGCTGTTAATGAAACAAATGAATTTGAATCACAGAGGTTTTGCCGATGATTCATATAATCCGCATACAGACTCGATAGTTAATTCCATTCATGAATTTCATTTTGATGGCCTTGCTGGTGTGACTTTCGAGTCTTGGTTTAAGAAGTATGAGGATTTGTTCAAGGTCGACCTCAACAATCTTGATGACGCCACCAAAGTGAGAATCCTTTTGAGAAAGCTCGGCACAATCGAACACGAACGTTATAGTAATTTCATCCTCCCAAAGAATTCACGAGATTTCTCTTTTGATGCTACAATTGATACGCTGTCGCAAATCTTCTCTGAACAGTCATCTCTCTTTAATATTCGTTATCAATGCCTCAAAATAATCAAGTCAAATGAAGATGACTGGGTAAAGCATGCTGGCTTAGTAAATCGTGAATGTGAACGATTTAAATTATCATCAATGACGGAAGATCAGTTTAAGTGCCTTGTGTTTGTGTGCAGCTTACAATCTCCCGACGATGCTGATATAAGAACCAGAATCCTAAGTAAAATTGAACAGTGCCCAAACATCTCGCTTCAAGAAATAACTGCAGAGTGCCAGAGATTAGTAAACTTGAAGCATGATACCTCCATGGTCGAAAACAATGGCCGTGCATCATACGTGCATGCCGTTAGTGAAAAGAAAAATTCCGGCTCACAAAAGCATCACAAGAGCACAGACAACCAGCCCTCATCTCCATGCTGGTCATGTGGAGGTTGGCACTACAAGAAGTTTTGACCATACAAAGATTATGTTTGCTCTAAATGTCACAAAAAGGGTCACAAAGAATCTCGATGTAGGACAAAAACTCGCAGGCATTACTCCGCGAAAGTCGATTCCAAGAAATACAGTTCTGGTAAGTCAATAAACAAAGTATTGGTGTCTCATAATCAGAGAAGAATTCACCAAAGAAGAAAGTATGTGACTTTGGATATGAATTCACACCGTATCCGTCTTCAACTGGACACAGCATCTGATATCACCCTTATCAGTCCAAAAACTTGGGAGAAAATTGGAAGACCTACAGTTCACCCTACGAAGCAACTAGCACACAGCGCATCTGGTGGCAAGTTAAATATTGTTGGAGAAATACTGTGCACTGTTTCAAAATATGGGACAACAACAAGTGCATCTGTATACTAAACTAAGAACCCAGACCTTGAATTATTGGGGTTGGATCTCATAGATGCATTAAAATTAACAGACCATTCTATCAACAATATCTGCTGCCGAGTTAGAATCAATAACCCTTTAGAGTCAAATCCGGGAAATGCCATTATAGAAAGGCATCATCACGTATGTCCAGAAGCGTTGGGCGAATGTACAAACGCTGCGAAAAACCCTTCGAAATGCGAGCCTCAACAATGGCAGAAACCTACGGGACCTTGGAAAAGAATTCATGCAGATTTCGCTGGCCCAATTCAAGGTAAAATGTTCCTAATTATTGTAGATGCGTATACAAAATGGCCAGAAATATACAGCATGCCGAATTGTACAGCCTCAGAAACTATTCAGAAGCTGTCCACCTTATTTATTTGTTTCGGAGTGCCAGAAACCTTGGTAACTGATAATGGATCACAATTTGTGGCCGACTCATTCACGCGATTCTACAGTTCAAACGGCATAACGCATCTACGGTCCCCACCTTACCACCCCCAATCGAATGGACAATCTGAACGCTTCGTGGACACTTTCAAAAGAGCTTTACTGAAAGGGGGAGATGAGGGACCAACTAGCCAAGTAATCACGAGGTTTTTAACGGCTTACAGAAGCACTCCGAACCCTATGGTCCCAGAGGGGAAGTCTCCAGCCGAAGCGATGTTTGGAAGACGTATTCGGACTATTTTTAACGCGATGTTGCCCCCTAAAAGAGCGAATAGATATAGGCCAAATCAAAATATTCGCAGCTTCAACGTGGGCGATAAAGTGTTCCTAAAAATCAATGGGAACCAGGAACAGTCGTCCAAAGACTAGGAAGAGTTTTGTATCGAATCATAGGAGCTTTTGGAAGCTGTGTTAGACACACGAACCAAATGCGAAGGGATCAAAGAATGGCACGCTCGGATGATAATCGCGTGAATCTACCCGTAGAGTTGATCACAGAACCGACAACTGCATATTTTTCCCGGAATGCCGAAGAAAAGGGAAGGTTGGAGACATTAACTCGAAACCCAATAACCAGAATGGAACGCCGCCGCAAACCAGTCGTAAGACTACAAGTGGACCCAAGAAAAAAATCTTATTCCGGGGAGGTGTTGTGATAGTCAATCGAGGATAAAGCCACGCATATTGTGGATTTAATGAACTATTTGATTTTTGTTCATAATAAACCATTTCATTAATGATGAACTATATGATTAATGTTCATGATAAACTATTTCATTAATGATGAATTATATGATTAATGTTCATGATAAACTATTTCATGTATGATGAACTATATGATTATCGTTCCTGACGAACTATTTGAAGCATGTTCAAATAATTAACGACTTTTATATAATTGTATAAATACGCATGTTTGATTGTATATATTTTTGATTCTGACAAGAAGTGTTCTACAACGACTTCCGTCTTCTTTCTTTGAACGGAGGGGTCTAACGTTCGGGTGTCATTAGTACGGTGGTTGACGTTACATCAAGTACAAAACATAAATATAATGTCAAAACCGACAGAATATTCCACCTGAAGCTATCTTTACTGTGTGGTTCAAGCTTGTCACACGAGTACTACAAATTGAATAATAATGGATTCATGTCCACTATTCAACTCGTCACATGCAATTTGCTGCGTTATAATTCATCAAGTGCATAATCTTTGTGAAAAGACACGTTATATATATATATATATATATATATATATATGGTGCGACAGCGTACCAACAGTTACGAGTAACGGTAACATCGATACTGCATTGCATCCTACAGGGAAATGGCATTCGGAACTGGAAGAATGACTGTTTACCCAATAAATTTACCAGCGACAAAGTTTCTTCATGGCACTGCAATTGGGCCATGCCGATGTTTGTATGACCCAGCTTACATTTCACATCAGCTTTATAAACGCGTCAGAAATGGTCCTTATTCTTACATCGAGTACACTGACCATCAGAAAAAAAAATTAAAAAAAAGACTCGGTCTTTGCTTCCAGGAAACGGTCTGGTATTCTAGCTCATTCTATGAACCGTCCTCGGTGAAGAACCTTGGTACTTTTGAAGTGTGATTTTGAAATCCAATACCAACGCACTCATCAATTAGGTTGAACATGTGCTTTATCCCGTCTCATCAAATCTCGTCTGGCTGCTGAGGAAAACATTCTGATCGCATCTCTGTGAGCTGAAAACGACGTGAAATGTTATCTGACAACAGCAGTAAGAGCAAAGCTGATGTCCTTTCATGAAGGCAACCTCCTTATTAGCGATGAACAACAGTCAAGTTGCAATTCGATCCCAAGAAAAAATGCTCTCAGAAGAGGCTGAGTAGGTAGATGGGACCATAGCTTTTGCCTTGACGTGGTAGTCATCTTGTCAATACTGATTACTTGAACGAACTCAATTGGCTGAAACACACGCTCCTGCATGTTCCACAATGTCTTTCAGGTCGACTTGTGAATGGTTGGAGAGAAGATACTAAGAATGATCACTCAAGATCTGACAGTGAATTCTTACTGCTGACTGCAAAGGTTTGGACAGCAGTAAAATGTTACCCTCGAACAGCTGCGTTCCTACATGGTAGTAAGGTGTTAGAAAAATTCGACATTGAAAATTTCACATCACAACTATTCTTACAGATTTTCATCTTCAACGTTTTGGCCTTTCAAACAAGAGTGAAATGTTGGTTCAAACATTTTTTCATGAATAAAACATTGGTGACCAGCTTCGAGCACCTAATCTTCCTTCTCATTTTTAACGCTTCCAGGTCTTCAGGACTAAAACGTATCTATCTTGCTGTTCAGGTTTCTCAAAAGACACGCTTCTTTGGAGTAAAAAGTCTGAAACTGACATCCAGCCTAACACCTGTACAAGCGCGCATTATCAAATTATTCACAATCAAACCGTTTCTTTACTCCCAAACATCTATCTTATCTTCAAAACTAAATCTTTCCGCATTCCATACATATTAAGTATGTCAGCCTCTACTACAATGAGGTTTGAATTGAAAGTTTTCCCTGTTCGCGAACGTATTATGACAACTTAAACTGACATATCAGGTATCAAGTTCCATCTTCTCGTCGGCTGACGGACTTTCAGAATTTTTTTTATGTTCCAGAAGCTTGATATTTTAAATCAGTATAATGTTATATTTCGAAGAAATAAGTGTCAATGATGCCCTTTTCAGGAGTAACGTTTGTCGAATATCAACACCACTTCTTATTATTGAGGCCATTTGTAGATCTAGCACTTAAACAACTGTATTCGACTATTTAGTTTTGACCGTGATTGTTTTGATTGATGCTTACTTAAAATTTTGTTGAAATTTTGCAACCCATGATCGCGAATTTTTTTAATCATAAATATCCGTTGGATTAACTCTTGAACTTTCGACTTTCAGTATTAGTTGAGATAATATTTTAAATAATCTAAAATTTATAGTGTGTAGATAGGGCAACTATTAGAGTTTTCTTTATATACTAACAGATTATTCAATAACAATTATTAGAAGCATTATAGTTTAATCCCAAATAACAAAATGTTACATGAGGCATTTCAATTTACATTTGAGATGAAATTGTTAAAATCGATAACAATATTTTCGGTAAAAGTTTGTTATGCAAATATAATACAGAGTACATTCACTGCCCACAGATGGCCTAATTTCGTTTTATAAAATTACACATAATTTTTCAGAATCTACACCTAACAATGCAAAAGTAAGCGTGAGTTACAATGGTTGCATAGAGACGAATCACTGCTAATCGATACCAAATGCACAGTATATCTAGGTCTGCATAAAATTATAATAAATGAGGAAGGGGTTTATTCGGCGATGATATTTCATTCCTGCCCTTTCGGCTGATAGTTTTCCTTCGTCCTCCATGTTTGTTATGGATTTGAATTTCGAAAGTATGGTTTTGACACGTGAACTGCTCTTCTTTTAGAAAGTAAGGTTGATGTGTTGCGGTCAGTTTTCTTGAGATTTCTTGGAAGTTACCATCAACCAAACTAACCAAGATAGATTGCTTCTGGTACTGCTTCAGGTATCTTTGACATTGTATTTCTGTAACTTTGCATACATTATACTGTAGTGTGCCTATTTATTGCGTGTTCTTAAGCTCGGTTTATAAATCAGAAGATGAACTCGTATTGATGAATACGTTTATTCAAGGCACACCACAAAGCGAAGCGGAGAAGCGAATTGGAGAAGGCTAAGAGCCAACTCAAAGAGATAGAGTTTGACTAAGAATATACAGTCAGGCATAAATAAGACAGACATATGATAAGCGAAATAGGTATGCACACACATGAATAAAAGCGACGAATGATTTACAAGGTCAAAAGCAAGCGATACAAATCATGTGAGTTCATGGGAAAATTAAGAGATTAACATTAAAGCGAAAAAGATGAGTAAGCGCGTAGGCGTAAGCAATGCTCAGTCGTACAAGCTCATACAAACCAGATAATAAAAAATAACAATGGCATATTTAAGTTGTTGCTATACAAATGGCTTGGTTAGATAAATAAATCGAAAGGGCTTAAGCAAATTAAATGTAAGCAGATGCAAATAAATGTGGAGGAACTA